ATTGGGGTTCTAGAAGTATCATTTAAGTTTCCCTTTAATAGATGTGACACAGGAGGAGGACAGAAGTTCTTTATTTAGCATGCAGTTTTTACTTCTTAAGGCTTCCAATTCCTTGTTTGTAGCAGATGATGGATCCTGGAAAACATGATGGTACCAAGAAAAGGAGTCCAGAGGAAGAGAAAAGAAAAAAAATACCAGATTATACATGGCAGCTAACTGGATTGTTTGTTATTACATTTATGAAAGATCCCTTCACCCCCATGAAATATTAAGGGAAACATATTTGAGGTGGTTGGATATAATTCAAAAACATGTGGAAATAGAAATCATTGAAACTTGAGTTGTTGTAATGTGGGTATTCCTAGTAATACCCACAGGCTGAAGGTGAGGCCTGGGAAAGCTTGTGTAATACATAGGAAAATTTTCATTTATTAAGATTCCACCTTTGTTCTACATTTATTTTTTCTCATTCAATAAGAATTCTTCCAATTGCACTCTTAATTCCATCCTTTCTTTTGCCTCTGGGTTAAGAGATATATCCATTGATTTATTTTCTACTATCATTCCTTTATTTTTATTGCCTCTTTTTCCCTAGCTCCTTTCTCATAGCTTATAAGCATATTTCATTAAATCATTGCCCTTAATAAAACACCATTCTGTTCTACCTTGAGTAAGTAGTAGTTAAAAGAAGAATTCTAGGGTCAGACTGCCTGGGTTTGAATGTAGCTCCATAATTTGCTAGTTATGTGCCCTTGGGCAATTTTTTAAATACTCTGTGCCTTCATTTCCTTACCTGTAAAAAAGAAGTAGAACTAGTTCTTACTTTATGGGTTATTGTGAGGATTAAATGAATGGATATTTGGAAAGCTCTTAGAGCAGCTCCTGGCAGATAGTAAAAGCTATAAGTGTTTGTTATATAAAAATTAATTAATTGATCAATCCTCAACTTAGGGTTTGTTAGGTAAAACTCTGTTGAAGTTTAAAAAACCTTATTAATTACTAAATTTAATGAATTATTAAGTTCTTAGCTAATTTGACCTTCTAGCAACACTTGACACAGTGGACCACTAGGTTCCTCTTGTACTTCTCCCTTTTTTTCCTGGATACTTCTTTCCTGGTTTCTCCCATATCCTCTAATATTTTCCATTAATTTTCCTTTGTAATGTCCTTGATTTCTGTCTTTGGTCCTCTTCCCTTCTCACTGTATAACTCAATAAATCTGATAGAAAAAATTCTTCAAATAATTCTCATAATATAGGAGTCCCTCCATAATTTGATCTCTTTGTTGATCTCTTCAGTCTTATCTTTCAGTCCCCATCACATGGAATGGCTTGAACTTTCCAGAGTGTAATGGTGGTGTTTTACATAGTGCTGCTTCTTTACAAATATTCCCTAATTTTTCAATTCTTAAATGAATTTTTCTTGATACCTTAGGTGAGTCTTCTCCTTTACATCTCATATATACTTTGTAGATGTCAGAGCCTAAGATTTAAGGAACTCAGTATTTGCTGACAGACTGAATTATAGCACCTATATTTTGCATCTATTTATTGTTTCCAGGTAACTGTATATGCCTTGAGAAAAAGATTTATTTATTAATCTTAAGATCTCTGGTGCTAAACAATGACTTAAATACAACAAATTATATATATAATCACATTCAAAACAACCAAACAGACAACCGAACAGGCTGAGTGGGGCGACCAGGCCAGCAAGGGGTTTAGTGAGGGATGACCAAACAACTGAGCAGCAGGCTATATGGGGCGACCAGGCCCACAGAGGGGAGCAGTGAGAGGCAACCAGGCTGGCAGAGGGTGCTGTTCACACGTGATCATGCCAGCAGGTGGGTCAGTAAGGAGCAACCAGGCTGGTGGGGGGGCAGCTAGGGGTGACCAGGCCAGCAGAAGGGCAGTAAGGGGTGACCATGCTGGTGGAGGGGGGGCAGTTAGGGGCAACCAGGCTGGCAGGCGAGTCAGCAACCAGGATGGGGGGGCAGGTGGGCATGACCAGGGTTGTGGGGGGGGGCAGTTGGGGGCAACCAGGCCAGCAGAGGAGGCAGTTAGAGGTGATCAGGCAGATGAGCAGTTAAGAGCCAGCAGTCCAGGATTGGGAGAGGGATCCTGGATTGGAGAGGGTGCAAGCTGGGCTGAGGGGACGCCCCCCCATGCACGAATTTAATGCACCAGGCCTCTAGTAGTTAAATAATTTACATTTTAAAATTTCTTCAGACATGTACGTTTGTGATTTCTGTGACAACTTGAACAAGTTTTTACTCTCAAAATATATTAATTTTACTTTCATTTGCTCTGAAGAACCTTTGAAATGATAAATAGGTTTCCTCTAACATTTAACAATACTGTGTACTAGCAGTATTTAGGCAATATGAGGAATAGTTCTGTGTTTCTTTATTGATTAAGGTATAACATATGTGTCTTTATCCCCCCATTGCCCCCCCAATTCATACCCTCACCCCCTGGTGTCCTGGTAGTAGTTCCTTCTTTTTTACAGCAGCATAGCATTCCATTGTGCAGATGTACCACAGTTTTCTAGTCCACTCACCTGAGTTCCCTGTAAATGTTGGAGATTAAACCCTTTTAAAATGTCATGGATACATCTTTAAGGAAATCATCAAAAAAAAAAGCACACGCAAATAAAATCGCCACTTTGCCCAGGCAGGGGCATGTTGCCGACTACCGCTCCTGCCACACAGCTAAGGCAGGGGAGGGCAAACTTTTTGACTCGAGGGCCACAATGGGTTCTTAAACTGGACAGGAGGGCCGGAACAAAAGCATGGATGGAGTGTTTGTGTGAACTCATATAAATTCAAAGTAAACATCATTAAATAAAAGGGTACAGTCTTTTTTTTCAATATTTTTATTCATTTTACATGGG